ATTTTCCCACGAATTTTTGGAAGCCCTCTCGTATGAACTGTGTGTGTGTGTGTGTGTGTGTGTGTGTGTGAATAAATGCAGAGACCTGAGAAGAGACACACTAAGCGAATGGTTTTGGTAAAGGAGGATTTGCATATGCTTCTATAGTATTTGAATATTTTGCCTGGTGAGTTCATCCAGTTTATTTTTCAGTATCAGTGACCAGAGAACAAAACACATTGGCATCTTCAGAAAACATCAGAAATGCTAACAACAGTAGGACCAGGGCTAATTTTGTTGCCTGTCCGTTGGTCAGCAATTTCTAAGTTTCCTGTGATAGCTATGTATTAACCTTAATAATAATATAAAAACGTAACACACTCCTTGGGGAGGAAATGGTGAGTAGAAAATCCTACAGTTAAAGCCCCGCAGAGAAGCCCTACCACAAAATGCAGCTACATATTAGGTAGGGGGTGGGGGTGAAGATGGGGCTAAATGGACCAAGATGGACCATAAACTACTGGGTTAGGAGCTGGGGACTATGAGTGGTTCTTATTTTTGTTTTCCTTTCTTTCTCAGCTTCTCCCCCCGATCCCAAATTTCCTTAATATGCTTATATTACTTTTTTAATATTACTGTGATAATGAAAAACTAAATTCAATAAAGCTATAACGGGAATGTGCAGCGTGCAGCTGGGACCCGAGGGAGGCTCACCAGGCCCCATAAATTCTTGGGCAACTCAGTGAGGAGGCAGGTGAGAGGCTGTCGAGGAAGGAACCAAGGACCAGGCACCATGGCCTCTGGAGAAGGCCTAACCATCAGGCCCAGAGGTGGGTGCCAGACAACTCCAGCCCCTGCACACTGCCCGCTTTGCAGGATGTCCACCGGTCCCAAACCCTGCGTCCCTTACCCCCTTCCTCCTCCCGTGATCCCATCTCAGTGGCTCAGTCCACTGCCCACCAGAAAGCTGGTTGCCTCCCTCACCTCCTCCCACTCCTCAAGCCCAGTCTAATCTTCTACCTCAGTATCCCTCCGGTGGGCCCATTTTTCCCTTTCCTCAGCCGCAGCCCCATCGAGGCCCCCATCGTCTCCTGCCACCATGTTTGCTCTGCAGTTCACCACTGTGGGGTGGATTCGGACTCATAGTGACCTGCAGGATGCAGAAGTGCCCCTGGGGTTCCCCCGCGGCTGTCATCTATAAAGAAGCAGACTGCCACATCTTTCTCTCTCTCAGGGAGCACACAGGGGGTCCGAACCACTGACCTGTCGGTTAGCAGCCAAGCACTTAACCACTGTGCCACCAGGCCTCCGGCTGCTCCTTCATAAGCTGGAGCTGCCCTCTCTCCAGCAGCGGTTCTCCGCCTTCCTCAGGCTGCGACCCTCTCATACAGTTCCTCATGTGGTGGTGACCCCCCAACCCTAACATTATTTCCGTTGCTGCTTCATCACTGTCATTTTGTTAAAGTTAGGAATCGGCATGTTACTATCTGATATGAAGGATGTATCAGGCAACCCCTGTGAAAGGGTCGTTCCACCCCCAGGTTGAGAACCGCCGCGGCACGGCCCGGCGCAAAGCAAAGGGAGGTTCTGAAACAGGGCCGCCCCTCGCTGCCTCGGCCCGGCTGCGGAACCGCGGTGTCCCAGGCCGTTCCCTCCCTCCCTCCGCCGCCGTGCTGTTATTGGTGGGACTCGGGGGCAGTCCTGGGGCTCGGCGATCGATCGCACCTCGTGGCCAGGAGCATCTTCTGCAGGAGATCGTGGTCCTGCTCTCGATGCCCACACGCACTCCCTTCTGCGCACTCTTCCCCTCTTCCTGCAAAACCCCGGCTTCCCATGTCGGGGCAGGTTCTGGATTCCCGACGTTCTCTGACCTGACAGCCTTAGTCCTCGGCGGGCAGCGCCCGCCCACCGGTGGATCGGCCACGGGGCAGGGTCTCCCAGTGGGAAGCAGAAGAGGTCTGAGGCTAGGGCCCCGCTGAGCTTCCCCTCCTCTTGGCCGGTCCTAGCCGGTCCCATCCGCCCCCAAGTCCTCCCACACAGGCCCACCTCACTCCACGTCCACCCGGGGAACCCACCCACCCACCGGGTGCCCGAATCTGCGCCAGTGCCGCCCCCGGCCTCCCGCTGTACCTGAGACGGTGCTGGTGGCCGGTCGCGCGTGCAGGGCCACATCGGGCTGCGGCACGGCCTGAGGGTGCAGCCCGGGCACCTGCTGCAACTTGGGCAGCGACATGACAGCCTGGCTGCTCTCGGCGGGCGCCGGCGGCACCAGCAGTGGCTGCTGGGAGGACGCGGACGTGGGCGGCATGTGCGGTGGCCGGATCTTCTCCGCCATCAGCTGCTCCTTGATCTTGTTAATCAGGACCAGGTTGTCCAGCTGCAGGCACGAGAAGGGGTGGTGGTGGTGGCTGAGGGGGCTTGGGCCGGGACTGGCCCCTCCCTGCGCGTTCACCCGGCCACCCGCAAGCCCAAATCAGGGGCAACGGGAAGCTGCTCCGATAAGGGGAGGGCTGCGCAGGCTGTCGGGGCACCGCTTGCCTGCGGGGTCTTACCTGGCTGGGCATGGTGGGAGGAGGGGGCCAGAAGTAGGGGTTGTTAAATCGTGGCTCGGCCATCCTGCAGGGAGAGAGAGGCTGTCACAGGGAGGAGAGCCCTCCCCACAGAGCTGGGAAGGTTCCCATCTGTGACACCCAAGCCAGTGGGGTCAGTGCCTGGGACTCATGCCCCGCAGCAGCAGGCCTCCCACCCCACCCAGGGAACACATCTCCAGGTTCAACCAGGTGCAGTCCTGTGTCTCCCGCTGCCGGTCTGGGTCACAGGTCACCTCTGGACCTGGCGCACCCCCCTACCCCCACCCTCATCCCCAGGAAGACCCTAGGTTACAAGGCCACCCCATGGACCCAGGAATTCCACACAACAAAGCTTCCCACCCGAGACCACAGGGGAGTCCTGCAGGCAACTTTGTAAATGGCCACAGGGCAGAGCAACTGCCCACCCCTGCTGGTCACTCCCCTCCTGGCCACTGCTCCTCTGTGCAGACACCTCGTGGTCAGCCGAGGCAGCTCCGGGTCACCAGAAACAGCCTCTCTGAAGGGCAGTTTGGCAGGAGGCTTTAGAGAGCCTATAAACTGGTCATTGTCCTTGGACCCAAGAAACTGTAAAGTGAGCCTCAAGAAATACGCCTGGCCAGGTAGCACATATTCCCCGCAGGGAGGTACATTAGAACACAGTGCTTAAGGTGATGGAGCGGGGGTTTCTGAGGGTGCCGGAAGCAAGGGCAGTTTGGGACTCCTGAATAAAGGTGTGTGGCAAAGGGTGTGACAATGTCCTGTGGCCTTGACTTTGGACAACTTGCATGGCAGGTCTGTGCAGGTAGAGGGGCTTCCCAACCAGGGCGGTCTCAGCCATGGCCCCTCAGAGCTAGCTCAGCCTTCCCAAGGGTTGGCCTGCGATGCTGGGCTAGGTCCAAAAGCGACTTACAGGGACCCAGACATTAAGTCTTGCTCCCTCTAAACCCTCTTCCTCTCTCACAGAAGAAGCTGCTGGTGTGACAAGGAAGACCAATGTAAGTGCCTCCGACCTCTTTTCCCCGGCTCCCGCTGGAATTCCAGGCAGAGTTTCGGGAGAGACTTTCAGAAAAGCAGCCTTGTCCATGGACTCTGTCCTGTGAGCCTTACTTGAAAGTAGGCACGGGAGACACGTCTCCTTAGCCTCCCACCTTACCGGTGAAGCAGCTGAGAGGCTGGGAGGAAGGAGCGAAGAAGACCCCTCTATAGACCACAGGGTGAGGAGTCAGAGTTCAGCCTAGAAATCGGGTTTGGTCAAGCTGGTTCCTCCGGGGAATTTGTTTTGCAAACCCTAACCCCTGTTCTGGGTAGAGCAAACTCTCACAGGCAAATCAATCAATAATCTGTATGCAAAAGACCTTGCCCCACACTCCCAGTCCGGGGGGCAGGGAAGGCTGACTGAGGTTGGTGGTGGTCAGGCACAGAATGAACATCCACCTCTGGGTCAGCTGTCCAGCCCCGGCTGAAGTCCCGTCCCACCAGACACAAGCACCAAGGATGTCCTCGAGGCCCTCTGTCCGGCCCTGACCACTCAACACAAGAACTCCTCCCGCCTGGAGCTCTCCCAGACTGCCCGGGCCCCTGGGACCTCTTTCTCAGAAAAGCCTCCGGAGAATAAGAATCAGGAGACTTCAGGGCTTCTCCAGTGCCTGCCCTTGTGCAGGACACAGAAACTGGGAGGCAGGCACTCTCCTGTGCCGTGTTTTACGATGGGATAAACTGAATTGCGAGAGAGGAAGTGACTTGCTCAGGGTCACACAGCAAGGATGCGGAGAACTGAGAGCCCCACGCTAGCCTGCACCTGGCTACTCCTTCGTCAGTCCCTTCTCGGCCCAGATACAAGAACACAAGCTGCCAATGGTGGGCTTGTGAGCGTGCCCTGCCTCAGGGTGACCCCTTCCGATGGCTGCCACTTGCCCAGCAGCGTCAGAACTTGCCCAGACTGCTCTGTCCCACAGCGAAAAACTGAATGGTCTGTAAATGTAGGGCAGAGGAGACCCAGACTGAGAGCAGGGGGTACTGGGGGCAGTCCCAGTGAGGCTGAGCTTCAGAGACTCTTGCCTGCTCGGTCTCAGTGTCCTGGGGACCCAGGCCCAGAAGCTAGGACAAGATGGATAAAGGAAGGCGTCATGCTCAGAGCCCTGCTGCCACTCGACAAACTCCTCCCTGCCCAGGGTCACTGGTGCCAGAGTCCTGGGAGGACTAGGGAGCAGAGAGGAATGTTTCCATCCATCTCACAGTGAGGAAGCCGGTATGAAGACAGGGGCACCCTGCTCCAGGCCGCACAGAGAGAAGCAGAGTGCCGGGCATTGGCACTCAGCCTCAGTTTCCCTCATCTGTGAATGGGGGTGAGACGGGCCACCCTACTCACTGCACTGGCTCCTCCTCAGACAGTTCTGGGGGCGCCATCCTCTCCTCCTCTGCCGTTCAATACCACGTCCAGGCTTCCAGAAGGCTTACCCCAGTCTGGGAGCTGGGAAGAGGAGGAGGCTTGCCCAGGGTCACACAGATGGGATAAAGCACCTCTCTGGCCCTATCAGCTCCCCTGGTCAGACAGCTGGGGGCCCACCCCCTTACCACAGGTCACTGCAAGGGCTCTGCATGGCCCTCCCTGGTTTCTCTGCACCTCCTCTGGTTGGTCTTCAGTGATTTAGAGATGCAGCCAGTGGGTCCACGCCTGGCACACCCCTCCTAGGGGGAGGTGAGGGGGGCAGGAGCTGAGCATTGACCGAGCTCACGCTCACTGTCAGACCTCTTGCTAAGCAGCATCTCATTTCAGCCCCCCAACCATCCTGTGAGGAGAGGAAGTATCTTTACAAGCTGCAGGGAGAAGGTGGGCCCTGCAGGCAGTCACTGCCGGGCAGGCTGGCCTGTGGCAAGAAGTGAGGTGGGAAGGTGGCCAGGGCCAGGCTGGGGACTCAGACCTTGCCTGGAGGAAGGGAGTTCAACAGGGCAGAGCTATGGTCAGGTAAGTGATTAGGGCATTCCTGGCCGAGGGAGCAGTACCAGCCAAGCAGGTGAGCAGGCTTCCTGGGGGAGAATCAGGGGCAGGGGAGGAGACACAGTTGGGATGGAATGCTAGAGAGACAGCCGTGGTGGGGGTGCTGCCAGGCCGGGAGGCAAGGTGGCAGGCTGGGCAGGGCCTCGAACCCCAGGCAGAAGCCAAGGTTCTCTGTGCTCTGGGCCCCAAGACCGCAGACCT